GAGGTGGTAAAGTCTGCAGCAAAGGTTTGGTGGGGGCACTGCTGAGAGACAGGGCAGGAGACGAAGTTGCTGAAGTGGGAAACCCAAGCATGCCTGCACCGGGAGGCGTTAAAGCTGAAAACAGAGAGATGACACCGTCAGTGCATGGAGTCACAGGAAGGCGGACGCTTAACCCTAAACAGAACTCAACTGCGGCCATGGCCACATCCCAAAAGATCTATTCACACACTAGGAAAACTGCCTGCACCAGCTGTCCTGAGATTGTCGTATTTCTTATATTAGTTTTAACCCCCACCGTAACTCAAGGAATGACATCTGCATAGTTCAGCAACATTGGACCTGGAAAACAAAGGCTCTCTCATAGTATGGAAGACAGAAGGTGAGAAAAAGAACATCTTCATATTGGTGAACTTTGCAAGATTTCTACTCAGTTATTCATTTTAACCAATTTTTATTCTACCATTGGGAAGGCAGACCCACTCTCCTTCACTCAAACATGCTGATAATTGCCATGTTCACAAAAAATAATTAGCTATCAAATTCAATGAAATCATCTAAGTTCCAGTAGAAAAGTGCGTTTACATTGAAAAAGGTGATAAGCTAATTTAATAGCAGGCGTAAATGACCACTGAACACCCCAAAAACCAAACGCAGTGGGATGACAGCTGTTCGTGATGAGGACTTGGGCATGGTTGTGATGATTTCCTTTTTTAGGGTGCAGGTTAAGCTCCTCATTACCATGCTGACAATCTGGCTAATAGAGTACTTGATAGGAATGGAAGATATTAAGGCTCAACTTTACCAGCCTCCCCCCTCCCCCCAACACAATGCTTCTTCAAGCTTTGCTTTTTGTATTAAAAAATGGTTTCACCCACTTGTCCTGGCAGCTCAGTTGGTTGTGTTGTAGGCAGTTACACAGACATGAAACAGAGCAAGGACGATGGGCCAGGTACAGAAGGTTGCCAGGATGGAAAGCCCTAGATGCCTAACAAGGACAACCAATTATAGGATGGGACCTTGACTTTTCCTTCCCTAGCATATTGCAGTTTGGACCCCCTGACCTTTCCTCCCTCAAGATAACATCTAGGCTTCCGTTGTATTTCAGCTCCAGGCCCAGATAAGCAACAGGACAAGCGGCATTGAATAATGACCCCCTGCCCTGGTGCCGGCCAATCAATCAGTGGAGAGCACAACTCTGAATGGACGCACTTGGAAAGCTACTGAATAGGCGATTGAGATCTTTCCCTGGGACCTCCCCTATCATCTCTGCCCTTAAAACCCTGGGATGGAGGATCCAGTACGCTCTCCCTCCAGGATGGGTGCTGGTTCATTATTGATCAAGGGAAGGCTCACCACTGAATGATCAGAACAAGGACTGAGCTGGAGGCCTGATGGGAGAATGAATCAGACAGAGGTGAGTGGAGTTTAAATTATTGCTGCATAGCTGTAGAGAGAATGATCAGAGATTTAACACAATCATCTTTTGATTATTGGTCAACATCTTACCTCCATGCTAAATGAAGCATTTTGGTGTTTAAAAAATTGTTTTGAAGTGACACAAAAACTGCATGTTTCTATTTCTGTAGCTAGAAAAAAAACTTGAGTGTCTTCATTGGTCTCTACCCAGCTCAGAAAGGTTTTCTTAGGCTTAGCTTACAATCCAAGGTGCTCTGAGTCCTCAAAGATCACCCTCACTGTTACCAGATTCCTGTCAATTAGCTTAGCTTTCTAAGCTGCTCTGTAACCTGCCAAACCCAACTCATCCCTGACCTGCTCTGAAATAAGTCCTATAGTTTTTCCAGTGGTGAGGACAGATGCTAAAAATCTTGTTTAAAGAAAATGTATTACTAGAGCTATAGTATAGAAAGAGAAAGAAAGAGAAAAAAGAAAGCAAATCCTTGAAAGTAACATTGTGTTTTGGGGAAAAACTGGTAACAGTATCCATGACTCATGGCCATGAAAATGGCCTGCACCATTGAAATACATTTAAAATGACTTAATTTTTGCAGGGTATAGTAAGAATGAATGAGTAAATTTCCTGGTCTTTAACCCAATTTAGTATGATAAACTTCTTGAATCTGGGGACTTAGACAAAATTGTGACGTAATGGAAATGCTTTTGGGGGCCCAAACCCTCAACTCTCTTGCTTTTACTCCTCCACCACTATGCCTGGCATCTTCTACTTGCCTCTGCATAAAATGTTATTTTCAAGAAAAAAACCAAGAATATGAATACATCTATTTCTGAAAAGGCTTCATATATACCAGTACTAGATTGAGGTTTCTTCCCACTATGATATCTGTGCTATTTTACATTTCACAGAGGATAATGCATTTAGTCAAAGAAATTATTATCTAATTACAGACTTTCAGGCAGAGTGATTCCAGGTGGAAGAAGCTTTACTAAGGACAACAGAGCCTTCCATGCATGTTAGAATGACACTATGTTGGTAGCCAGCTTCTTTGCCCCCCCGCCCCCCATAAAGCCAACTTCTAAGTCTAGTACAGTGAGACTTCAAATAAGTAATTGAACCCCTTTCCACCTGGTGTTTCCCCCATAAATCTAAGGAAATTGTTGGCTCACTCATTTTTGTGTCATGAGAATTTAAGAAAAAATTTAAGGAACTAAGAGACTTAAAAAAATAGCAATGGTTGTTGAGTAGGCTTTCCCATCAGATAGGGTCTACAACTTCCTATCAAGAGGTCATGCAATGAAGTAAAGGTCATGCAATAGTCTTCTAAAATCCCAACTACTGTAGCCAAAACTATTAGGGATTTCTAGGAATTCAACATCTCCAGGACTAAGCAGAGTTAAATAATTAGCTATTAAGTAAAAATTTTAGGAAAGAGATGCAGATTCAGGATACTTAACCATGTACATCGGGCCTACTAGTAAAAGCCATGAGCCTGTAAACAGTTGCAGTCAAAAGGTCAGTAGCCAACTGATATCGGAAAACCAGAAACACAAGAGAAAAACGGAACAGTGGTCACAGTGTGGAATCAGATGCATTTGTTCCTGTTCCCTAACTCCTACTAAGAGATTCAAGTTTACCTACAGATAATCAAACTACCATAATTTTGTTTGGTTTTCCCCCAAAGTAATGTTTTTGGAAGAAAATGCCTGTCTCACAATGAACTTAGATGTGGTTCCTTTTCCCCCGTGATTCTTTGATCTAGGTCTCCTAGAGAGAAAATTTATTTTGGAGGTGAAAAGAAAACTAATTATATACACGGGGCCACAGACAATTGTGATAAAATTACTAAAGACTTACTCTTATCTAGATTTACCACAACTGTGCTAGTAAATTACAGTGAAGTATGAGAAAAATGCACAAGCCATGTTCTGCAGTTCCATTTAAGGAAATTGGGTTGGGCAGTATTTCCAAACACTAATGGAACATATAAAGATCAGACACTGCTTAAAACGATAAAGTAAATATGTTAAAAATAGAAAATCAAGTCTCTATTCATCTTGAGTCCCCCCCCCTCAAAGGAAGCTAACATACTCAAGGATAAAATGTCAATTTAAAACTTTTCTAATTTTTTCCAGGCGTACAGGCTTGTGATATTTTTCACCACTCTCCCTTTTTGCACATGATCATGATAGAAAAAGACAAATGTGGAAAATTTTTTAAGCAGAAAATAATTCCTTTTCTTTAAAAGCGAAGGCACACGTGATGTGCATTACTCTGGAAAGGGCTGCCTTCGTGATCTTGAAAGACTGACTAATGTGAAAATTTCTTGCAAGTGAGGCAAGGAACTTTTGTGAGCATAAAAGCTGGTAAACAGCACTTCTGCCCAAAAAAGAATAAAAAATATGTTTAAACCAGGACACTTAGAGGTTGGAAATACTAAAACTGAACATGCCCATGGCAACGAATGTACACCTTCACAGGTGTAGCCTTTGGAATCAGACTTACTACCTTACGGAACAGCTCATACTTAATGGAGTCCCTTTCTAGTGATTTCCTTAGGGTCAAAACCTTCCAACTTACCTCCAAAGGGATAGAGTATTTTTAAAATGGAGATTTTTCCATAACTAAAATCCCATTAAAATGGGCCCAAGATGAACAGGGCATATTCTCAAAGTTCAGTCATGTAGATAAATTATTGTGAGAAATACAGAAATATTCTACTTATGAAGTAATTTTCTCCTTTTGACTTCACTTCGCTGGTATGTCTATTTCTCCCATAAAGCAAAGGAGGTATTTGAGTGATGAGAAAGTACAGTAGAAAGATGGAGAAACACAGCTCCCCTTGCGAGATGCCTAAAATACTCAGCTTTACCCACCACAGGTCAGCTAACCTAAACATCAGTGAACTGGGAAGGATGGGGACTCAGGCTCTCAGATGAGGTCCTGCTGGTAACCTGCTGTGCTATGTTTAAAATCTGTCAAAATAAAAATTAAAAAATGAATTCATGAGAAATTGCAAATTGCGGTGGTATGTTCACAAAATGAATAGCCCTCCCCCCCCCCCCCCGCTTTTTTTTATAACACTCTCCGATCTGTTTTGGTCCAGGATTTAATGAAGCAATAGGTACACCTAGCACCGAGGTCCTTGGTGTCAGATGCATAAGGATACTGCTCACTGCAGAGGACCTGCCTGCACAGCCTCCCACAACCCGGGGAGTTATGAACAGGGCCCACGTGTCAAGAGAGGAGACACGCTGTATTTACGCTGAGCTGAATGAGAGAGGTTAGGGTATTTAAGTATGTCATAAACATCTCCTCCCTCTACCCTTACCACTTTCTCTCATATTGGACTGTCAGCCAAGGACTGACTGTCCAAGCAAAGGCCTTCTGATCCCGTGGAGAGGAAAGCAAGATGCTTTGACCACTATTTAGAGGGGTGACTACACAGGCATCAATGACCACAGACACTTGGAGTGTTCTTAGTGCCTGTAAAGTACCAAATGTTCCTCTACTTTACCCAATATTTTAAATTTCATATTACTTAGTTTTTCACATTATACTTTATGTGGGAAAACTCTTTTATATAACTGATCACAAAAGTTTTCCACATAAAACATTTTTCTATGTGTCAATTAATAATCACAGTGACATATAAAGTAGGAACAGAAACTGATAGTCATGCAAAAATAGCCATTGCATTATTCTTATAAACAATTCTGACAATTAAATGTACAAACAAAACACGTAATTATAGCTGATATTTCAGGCCCCAAGAATATCTAGATAATGAAGCCCAAAGTCTAATGGGGGGAAGCACACGGTGACAGTTCAAGGAAGGGGCAATGTTCTCTATGTACAGACCCTGCCTGCTTCCCGAATGCCAACAGGTCGCTCAGGACAGGGAGCCAGGTGAGCTGGCCGCAGCCCACAGGCCACGTGGTGTCACTCTTTCACGTTTCCCAAGGTAAAAGTTCAAACAGGAATATCTTCTAAGACCACATGGCATGTTTTGTTTTTATAAGAAAAGGTGAGGACAGCTTCACGGGGGGAATTTTACCAAAGAAGAACTAACAGCTATCCTCCTGAAACTGTTCCCAAAAAATCCAAGAGGAAGGAACACTTCCAAGCTCTTTTTATGAGGCCAGCATTATCCTAATTCCAAAACCAGGTAGACATCACAAAGAAAGAGAATTACAGGCCAATATCCCTGATGAACATAGATGCTAAAATCCTCAACAAAGTATTAGCAAATCAGATACAGAAATATATTTAAGAGATCATACACCATGGCCAAGTGGGATTAATCCCGGGGATGCAAGGCTGGTACAATATTCGCAAATCACTAAATGTGATACATCACATAAACAAATTGAAAGACAAAAATAACATGATCATGTTAACAGACACAGAAAAAGCATTCAAAAAAAAATCCAACACCCATTTTTGATAAAAACTCTCAGCAAAGTGGAATGGAGGGATCATGCCTCAACATAATAAAGGCCATATATGACAAACCTACAACCAACATCATACTCAGTGGACGAAAACTAAAATCATGTCCCCTAAGAACAGGAAAAAGACAGGGATGTTCACTTTCACTCCTGTTCGACACAGCACTGGAAGTCCTAGCCACAGTGATCAGACAAGAAGAAAACATAAAAGGCGTCCAAATTGGAAAGGAGGAAGTAACACTCATTATTCGCAGATGACATGATATTGTACAGAGAATCCTAACTCCACCAAAAAAACTACTAGATTTTTTAATAAAGGAATTCAGCAGTGTAGCAGGATACAAAATTAACACCCAGAAACCGATGGCATTTTTATACACTAATAATGAATTCTCAGAAAGAGAAACTAAACAATCCCATTTACCATAGCAACCAAAAAATTAAGATACCTACCTAGGAATAAACTTAACCAAGGAGGTAAAAGACTTTTACTTGGAAAACAACAGGACGTTGAAAAAAGAGAGAGGAAGATATAAATAAGTGTTCCTGGATTGATAGAATTAACATCATTAAAACGTCCATACTACCCTATAGCAATCTATAGATTCAATGCAAACCCTATTAAAATACCAATGGCATATTTCACAGATCTAGAACAAATACTCCAAAAATTTATATGGAACCAAAAAACCCCCCCGAAAAGCCACAGCAATCTTGAAAAAGAAGAAAAAAATTGAGGAATCATAATACCAGATATCAAATTATACTACAAAACCATTATAATCAAAACAGCCTGGTACTGGCACAAGTGCAGTCATACAGATCAATGGAACCGAACAGAGACCCCAGAAATCAATCCAAACCACTATGCTCAATTAATATTTGACAAAGGAGGCAAGAGCATACAATGGGGTTAATACAGTCTCTTCAATAAATTGGACAGATACATGCAAAAAAATGAAGCTAGACCACCAACTTACACCATAAACAAAAACAAGCCCGAAATGGATAAGGATTAAATGTAAACAGTGAAACTTGATCCTAGGAGAAACCATAGGCAGCAAAATCTCAGGCATCTCTTGTAGCTATATCTTTGCAGATATAGCTCCTAGGGCAGCGGTTCTCAACCTGTGGGTCGCGAACCCTTTGGGGGTCGAACGACCCTTTCACAGGGGTCGCCTAAGACCATCGGAAAACATATATAATTACATATTGTTTTTGTGATTAATCACTGTGCTTTAATTATGTTCAATTTGTAACAATGAAATTGGGGGTCACCACGACATGAGGAACTGTATTAAAGGGTCGCAGCATTAGGAAGGTTGAGAACCACTGTACTAGGCGAAAGGAAACTAAGGAGAAAACAAATGGGACCACATCAAAGTAAAAGGCTTCTGCACAGCAAAAGAAGCCACCAGCACAATGAAAAGGAAGCCCACTGGGCAGGAGAACTGTTTGGCAATGACGCATCTGATAAAGGGTTAATATCCAAACTAGGAACTCACACAACTTAACAAAGGGAAAAGCCAATTAAAAAATGGGCAAAGGACTTAAATAGACTCTTCTCCAAAGTGGACATACAGATGGCAAAGAGACATATGAAAAAAATGCTTAAAATCACTGATCATCAGCGAGATGTAAATTAAAATGACAATGGGTTATCGCCTCACATCTGTCAGAATGGCTACCCTCAACAAATCACAAGTGCTGGCGAGGATGTGGAGACAAGGGAACCCTAGTACACTGCTGGTGGGAATGCAGACTGGTGCAGCCATTATGGAAAACAGCATGGAATTTCCTCAAAAAATTAGATATGAAAACACAAATCAGAAAAAAATGTATGCACCCCTATGTTCATAGCACAATTTACAATAGCTAAGATATGGAAACAGCCCAAATGCCCATCAGCAATTGAGTGGATTAAAAAGCTGTGGTACATTAACACCACAGAATACTAGGCAGCAGTAAAAAAGAAGGATCTCTTACCCTTTGAGACAGCATGGAGGGACCTGGAGAGTATTATGCTAAGTGAAATAAGCCAGTCAGAGATACTTGTCGACAAGTATCACATGATCTCACTCATATGTTGAATCTAATGAGCAAAACAAACTGTTGAACAAAATAGATCCAGAGACATGGAAGCATGGAACAGACTGTCGAACCTCAGAGGGAAGGGATGTGGGGAAAGGGGGGGAGAAGACGAACCAAAGAATGTGTATGCATATATGCATAACCCATGGTCACAGACAATAGGGTGGCAGAGGCCTGGGGGAGGGGGGAGGGCTATAAGGGGTCAATGGGAGAAAATAAGTGAACATATGTAATACTTTCAACAATAAAAATTTTAAAAAGGTGAGATTGAAAAGTTTGACATTTATGTAAAAGGCCAATTTGTGTAAATAAAAAAGGTTTTTGAACCTTTCTAGAAATATGTAATTAGTTAATTCTAGATAAGTTTATGTCAAAATCCCCTTTCAAAAAGAAAAAAAAAATCACTGTTAATTTGAAAAATAAAACTTACTTTAAAGAAGAAATTATAAGAGAACCATTTTTTTCTATTTTGGATAATATATAATATTTATATAACATATAAAACATTTAACATTTGTTATATGTTTGGCTATGTCCTTGCCTAGCTTACTGTATTCAACTGTTTTAAGCTAATAGAACCGCATACCTTTACTCATTCATGAAATGTTCTGAACCTGCACAAATTACATTACTCTTTTTTTTTTTTTTTTAATATATTTTATTGATTTTTTACAGAGAGGAAGGGAGAGAGATAGAGAGTCAGAAACATCGATCAGCTGCCTCCTGCACATCTCCTCCTGGGGATATGCCCGCAACCCAGGTACATGCCCTTGACTGGAATCGAACCTGGGACCTTTCAGTCCGCAGGCCAACGCTCTATCCACTGAGCCAAACCGGTTTCGGCAACATTACTCTTGATGAGCACCGAATTGGATTCATCTTCTGGGGTTGCCTCAGAAAGCTTTATAATTCTGTTTGACTTAATTATATGGCTGGGGTGGAGCGAGGGGCAGGAGGGCATGGGGTAATATTAATATACCTCTAGGGTTGCACATTAATTTAAATAATAAGCAACAATGGCTGCTACAAAAATCAAAATCTTATTGTCCAAAATCTTTACAATCAAATTAAAAATTGTCCCAGAACTGTTAGGTGTATTATGGGTGAATTCCTGTGGCTAGAGGCCCTTAACTTTTGAACTTCCAGGCACTTAAGTGGGAGAAAACAAAACAAAACAAAAAAAACAAATAAGAAAGCCTCCCTTGGAAAGAATATAAATTAAGATACTGATAAATGGGTTAGTGAGTGCTTCACTTTCTTAGTACGTTCACCAAACAACATGCCACACGTTTGTGCTTAAATGCCATTTGAAAACAGTATTGAAATGATTCTACAAAAGGAACATTTCTGCCGAAACCGGTTTGGCTCAGTGGATAGAGCGTCGGCCTGCGGACTGAAGGGTCCCAGGTTCGATTCCGGTCAAGGGCATGTACCAGGGTTGTGGGCACATCCCCAGTAGGGGGTGTGCAGGAGGCAGCATATTGATGTTTCTCTCTCATCGATGTTTCTCTCTATTCCTCTCCTTTCTTCTCTGTAAAAAATCAATAAAATATATTTAAAAAAAAGATATAATGATATACATAATGAATATATTTCTAAGGCTAGCTATGACCTAGCTAGTCTTTCTTTCTTTCTTTTTTTTACCTAGCTAGTCTTTATTTTTCTGCATAAGTTCAGGTAGACTTACTTCCTGGTTATTAATTTTAGCCAATAAAATATATATTTTAAATTATTTAATGGCTTCACTCACTGAAATGAAGAGATTCAAATGTACCCTGTTCTTAGTTATTCGGCATCAGCTGCCTAACATTACTAATTCATTAGACTGCCCTGGAAGTGACTTACTGTTTGAATTCTGTGGGAACCCGGGCAAGGAGGATGGGCCGTTCATTCCGGGGAGAAGGACCGGAGGAAGCCCAGGGAGTCCCGGGTAGGCAGCCGGGAGGCCGATGCCGTGGAGGGGGCCGCTGTCCACCATGCTGGGCTGCTGCACCGCCAAGCCCAGCACATCTGACGCTTTCTTGATCCGGTCCAGTTCTTGCTGCGCCATCAGCTGCCGAACGGTGGTCGGAGCCAAGTAATCCTTCTCCCGGTCCAGCTGGCTCCCCACGGTCTCCCTCACCTTTGCGATGTGCTGTTTGGAGAAGATGTGATCTCTGATGGACAAGCGGGCGGAATACTTCACCCCGCACAGCGTGCACTCTGGCTTGGTGCCTTCGGTCCCGCTCTGATTGATCATGAACGGCTTCCCGATGTTGATTTTAAATTTCTTCTCCTTGGCCCGTGCGTTCTGGAACCACACCTGGACCACGCGCTTGGGCAGGCCGATCTCGTTGCCCAGCATCTCGCACTCCTGCATGGTGGGCGTGCGGTAGTCTCCGAAGCACGCCTTGAGGACCTTGAGCTGCAGGTTGCTCATCTGAGTCCGGAAACGCTTGTGCCCCGGGCGGTCGTTATTTTTGGATTTGAAAGGGTTGCTGGACCCAAAAGGATTTGGGGAACTCGGGTCAGCGATGCTGGACGTTTCACTGCGGTCGGCGTTGTCATCGGGGTCATCCATGATGTAAAAGCTTTGGTCATGGTCACCGTCTTTGTCGTTGAAATGCATGGAGGGGCTGGTGAGGGAGAAGAGGAATTTCTCCTCGCAGACCTCTGCGGTGGGTGTGGTTGCTGTTTTTGGCAAAGCGTCAAGAGTTTTGGGCTCTTTCGGCGACAGAGCCGGCTTCCCGTCTCCAGAACCGCCCAGGGTGCTTTCCACCTCGGCGTTGCCCTCGTCGCCCGTGGTGGCGTCGCTGATGGCCGTGTTGATGGACGACGTCTCATCGAAATCGGTCTTGCTCTGGTCGTACCCGGCCTCGGCGGGAGGGGCGCCCAGGTTCTCCCCGTCCTCGGGGCCCTCTGCTTTGAAGGAAGAAGGGCTGAGCAGGTTCTTGGGGGACAGCTCGGCCGTCTTGCTCACGGGCGTGGACACGGTCGAAGCCAACTCATTCTCGCTCGACAGGTCGATTTTAGTGAGCGGCAAAGACGGGTAGTCAAAGTAGATGTATTTCTGGGGGCTCTCCCCGCCCTCGTCCGCCGCTATCAGAGGGCTGGGGGGCAGGCTGTACCCCGCCTGCTTCCCCTCGTTCCAGTGCCGAGAGCGGATGTGGCTCTCCAGGGCCGACTTGGCCTTGAACAGGGCGCGGCAGAAGGGGCACCGCTTGTGCGACTGGGCCGGCCCCACGGCCCGGAACTGGCCCTTCCGCTCCCGGGCGCGCGTGTTCTGGAACCAGACCTGCACCACGCGTTTCTTCAGCCCCACCTCCCGCGCGATGTGGTCCAGCATTTTGCGGGTGGGGTTGGAGTCCAGCAGGTACTTCTCGTAGAGGATCTCCAGCTGCTCGGGGGTGATGGTGGTCCGCAGGCGCTTGTCGCGGTGCTGGTCCTCGCCGCTGGGGCCGCCCTCCTTCTCGCTGCACGTCTGGTCCTCCTTGTCCTCCAGCTTCCGCTTCAGGGACGCGGCCACGGTGGCGGGGGCCGCGGGGTGGGAGGCCCCCGTCTGGGGGCCCATCTGCGCCAGGGAGCCGCTCAGCAGCTGGCCGGTCATCAGGGGGCTGTTGGGGTCGAAGATCATGTAGGGCATGTCCAGGGGCCGCTCCAGGAAGGGCGAGTGGAGGAACTGGTTCTGCGCGGCGAGGAAATGCATGTGCTGGTGCTCCTGCCAGAGCTCCGGGCTCGGGAAGGCCACGGCGCACTGGTCGCACTGGTACTGCAGCAGCTGCGGAGGTAGGCTGTTCGGGAGCGGCGTCATGGACAGCGGCAGGGGGCTGGACGGCACCGGCGTCTGCGAGGCCGAGGGGGGTCTGCCCACCAGCGGGGGCTGCTTGGGGGGCTGGGGCGGGGCCGGCGGAGGGTCCGAGGAGGTGGGCGCCGAGGGCGGGGCCGGCTTGGTGCCGGGAGCCGGGGGGGCGGGGTCGCTCTGCTTTGGCTTTTCTGGGGGATAGTCAGGTTTGGGGGAGGTCTTCTCGGGCTCCGGTTTGGGGGACGGAATGAGAGGGGTGCTCGCCCCGGAGCCGGAACTGGCCGCCGGGGCCGTGGCGGTTTTGGCCGCGTCCGCGGGGCCGGAGGCCGAGCAGTGCTTGTACACCACCTGGTCCGTGGCGTCCATGGAGTCTTCGGTCTGGCTCTCGTCCTGCGCGTCGTCGTCCTCGTCCTTGTAGCACTGCTTCTTCTGGTGCGTGATCAGGTCGAAGATGCGGGGGAACACCACGGAGCACTTCTTGCACTGGTACTGCATGTTGCTGGTGCGGATGTACCGCTCGTTCGTCAGCTCGCGCTTCTCGCTGTCCTTGGCCTCGGCCTGGTTCTCGTAGCTCTTGCGGGCCTTCTGCCGCGCGTTCTGGAACCACACCACGATGACCCGGGTGGGGAGGTTGAGGACGGTGGAGAGCTGCTCGATCTCGTCGTCTTTGGGGTAAGCGTTGGTGTCAAAAAAGTCCTGCAGGACCCGCAGCTGGTAGTCGGTGAACCGGGTGCGGGACGACCTCTTGCTGAAAGCGGCGTCGGCCTTGTAGTGCTCCAGGGCGGCGGGCGGCGGGTCCAGGCGCAGGTCCTCCAGCACCGTGACGGGCGGGTTGCTGAAGTTGTAGGGCGAGTCCTTGTTGCGCTGCCGCTCCTTGAAGAGCGTGTTGCGGAACCAGTGCTTGATGACCTTCTGCGAGAGGCCCGACTTCTCCGCCATCTCCTGCACCTGCTCCTCGCTCGGGGAGTTGTTGATGTCGAAGTACGCCCTCAGGATCTTGAGCTGGTCGTCCGTGATCCTGGTCCGCGGGCGCTTGAACTGCGAGTGCCGCAGGAAGGTGGGGTCGAGCCCGAGCTGCTGCTGGCACAGCTGGGTGAGGTCGGCGGACAGCGCGTCCATCTGCGGCAGCTGCAGGGCCAGCTGCGGGGGGAGCGCCGGGTGCTGCACGGGCTGCATCATGATGGAGGGGAAGAGCGGGAGGTCCAGGGACACGGGCAGCTGGACCTGCGGGGGGGCCGAGGGCGGCGGCGGCGGGGGAGGCGGTGGGGGCGGAGGGGGCGGCGGGGGCGGGGGCGGCGTGGGGGGTGGCGCCTGCAGGGGGGCGGACACGGAGCTGGGCATCTTCACTGGCCCCAGGGGGGCAGGCTGCGGGGGCGCCGGGGGCAGCGGGGGAGGAGGCGGCGGAGGTGGCGTCTCTGGCGAAGGTGGCGAAATCGGGTAAAGCTTGTCATATGCCTCCCGGTACTGGCGAGCGAATCTCTCGAGGGCTCCGTAGGGGAAAAACTGCCCGTGCACGTGCTCCTGGTGGCTCTTTAAAATGAGGACGTTGGAGAAGAGTTTCCCACACGTCCCGCATTCCAGCTTGTCCGAGCTGTCCCCGTCCCCGCCGCGGCCCTTCTTCTGCACCTTCTGCCGGTTCTCGTTGTACTGGATGACCAGCTCGAACCCGAAGTTCTCCAGCAGGGCCTTGGCCGCATTCCCCCTGGCCCCGGAGGCGATCCTCGGCGGCGGGATGGCTGGTTCCAGGGACTTGGGCTTCTTGGAGTCTTTGCCTTCTTTGAGTCCTTCCCCTTCGCTGGTAAATTCTGGCTTTGGTTTGTCTTGCTTTTCCGCACTCTCTTCGGCCTCCTTGTAAGAGGGCCCCTCCTTGGCGGCCGGGCCTTCGGCCCCCGCCAGGCTGGCTGGGTCCGGTTTGGGGAGCTTGCCGGCGGGCTGGGGGGCCGGCTGCGGCGGGGGCGGCTTCTGGGACGCCAGCGGGGGCTGCGCGGCCTGGTACTGCTGTGCTTGCTGCTGCAGGAGCTGCAGCTGGGTTTGGCCGACGTGATGCTGCGTCTGAATCTGCTGCTTCAAGTCTTCGAGCAAGGATCCGGCCATGCCCGTCATGCCGGGCATCCCGAACGCGGCAGAGCCGGGCAGGCCCAACTCCGGCCCCAGGCTGAACTCCGTGCCCGGGATGTAGAAAGGGAAGAGAAACTGAGGCTGCTGGAGCTGCAGCAGGGCCTCGGGGGTCACGGGGAAATGCGGCAGGAAGGCGGGGTTGAGAAACTGCGGCTGGAAGAAGGCCGCCTGCTGCTGCAGCTCGTGCTGGAGCTGCATCTGAATCTGTGCTGGTGACTGCGGCGGGTGGTGCGGGGGCTGCGCGGACAGGAGTTCCGGAGTTTGCTTTTTATTTAATTCTTTGGCATCTAAGTGGGTATCTTTGCTGCTGACGGAGGCTAAACTCATGGACTCCAACATCCCTGGGCCGGGACTGCCCACGCTGGCTGCGAGGCCGTGGCCGCCGGGCTCCAGCTTGGCGGCCCGGGCCTTGGTCTGGTGGAGCACCGACCGCATGTGGATTTCCAAGGTCGAGCTTTGGCTGTAGGCGACGTTGCAGATGCTGCACTTGTAGGGTTTGTTGTCGGCGCCGCTGCTGGTTTCTTGAGGAACGGGACTGGAGGCCTCCTGCAACACCTTTTTCAACTTATGCAGATGAGAAACGGAATTATAATGGACCAAGAGGATGTTCTTCTGGGTGAAGGACTCTTTACACACTGTACATTTATACGGGCGGGAAGGGTCGAGGAACTTTTCCATCGTAAAGTTGGGCCCTTTTCTGAAGGGCAAGGTCCGCTTTGGTTCAGAGCCCATGTCATCAGGAATGGAGCTGCTGTCACTCCCCACGGGACTCGCCTTCCCCTCCTGGTCGACCTCGTACTCCCTCTCCATTTCCTGCTCCAGGGCGTGGTCGTCCGGGGCCAGGGCCTCGCTCTCGGCCCAGAGCTCTCCGTTCACGGGCAGGGAGGCGTACAGCTGCTGGAGCTCGGCTTCGCTCAGCTCGGGGTGGCCCGCTTCCAGGTGTTTTTTTAAAGCCTGGAATGTACGGAAGCTCCGCTGGCAGAGATTACACATGGTGGCGGCCCGGATCGCGTGGTACTGGGAATGGATCTGAAGCTTCTGCATCGTCTTGAAGGCCAGGCTGCAGTGGTTACAGCGGTACTTGTACACGTGGCGGTCGGAAACCGATAGCGGCTGCCGCTTCTGCTGCTCACTGAGTGGATCTGGTAGGGTGTCGGGGATTTTCACATCCTTGCTGCCATTTTTGTTCCATTCGGACACATCCATGGCTTCTTTAGCTGGTTTCTGCTCCTCGCTCTTTATTTCCACGCTGGCCTTTGCATCGTCAAGACCTGCCATACTTTTGTCATCCATTGGACTCTCGCCTGTGTGGGAGAAAGCACAAACAGATCGCTTACAGGGAGAAGGGACACAGGCTGATAAATATTGTAAGTAGGAACCTCTACAAGTTTCTGTTTAATTGATTCGTTAGAGGAATATTTATTGAGCAACTACTACGTTGCAAGCATTGTGAGAGGCACTGTGGATACAAAGGTGAATATCAAATCACCTCTGACCTTGAGGAATTTCAGGATGCGGAAGAAAAGAACTCAAAGGTAATTGCAGTATGCTGCATACAATCAGTGTGACACCAAGGGCCAGGCCTCAGTGTCCAGGAATTAGAGCAAAGAATATTCTCAGTCACTGACACTCAGCAGTGACAGACAGCCAGACACTAACTATGCATGGAAAACTATGGCTCTTGGGATATAGTTTTCCTCTGTGCCTTTGTTCTAACCCTTTGATAGTAAAAACCTTGGCACTCCACCACAAACGCAAGCCTTGAAGCATGTTTCTGCAGACCACAGTCACAGGCGGGCATACCTGAATACTTCCCCGACCCCTCGGCTGTGCCGGCTGCAGGCGTGTCCCGCTCTGATTTCTCAGAGGCAGCTGCGGGCAGCAGCAAACTGTTTGGCATCATCACATCGGGCACAGGCACCTGTGAAGACCAAAGGGGCTCATGTCAAAGGTCCCCCAACATTCAAAAATGCCACCTCAGCTGCCATTGGGCAGTTGCATCCCACTTAGATTTTCCAGCCAAAGCAGGGACACTTGGTGGCTCTTACAGGTCACTGCTCTCCCTTCCAATTTCAGATCAACACCATTACAATGCTGTATTCTTTCTTTCCCTTTTTAAAACTGTTTTTGTAGGTCTATGTCTTTATCCTGATACTCAAAGTTTGAAACTCAATGTGTCCACATGACTCATCCTTATGACATTATAAACACGAGACTGTAAAATATGTGTTACTGAATAATCTATGCCCGTATCATATTTATTTTCCTAGCAAAAGAGACAACGGAGGGGCCTTGGACTGTGATTTCTATAACACAGTCAGGGAAACAACTTTGTGTCGCGAAGAAGAAATACATTCCTATGGACCGATAAGTGCAGATTTAGTGTTCTACCTTTCCAGAGATTACGTCACACGCACGTCAACATGTGGGGTCCTTACTGTCATGAGCAGCTTCTCCACGCAGTCCGGGGAGACGCTGTGCAGGTGCGTCAAGTGCAGCTGCAGGTGCATCTTGTTGCTGAGGACGTCCTGGCAGAGGGGACAGCAGACGACCGGCTGCACCGAGTGCTGCGACAGGACATGCATCTGGATGCGACTTTGGTCCCTACTATTGTAGTTACAATAAGGACACTGATAGAACTGGAAGACAGTGAATAGACATGGCATATGCTATCATTAGTCTGAGGGCTTCAGAGCATCAGCAGGAATACCGAGGGCTCATCTGTCACCAATCACATTTGTCACCATGCTACGTTTCAATAGCATGGAATCGTTGGGGGCTCTAACACTACTAGGAGCAATAATAAATTAAAATTAAAATTAAAAATAGGTTTATATAGCAAAGGGAGGAAAAAATGTATTTACCTGATCGTGACAGAATTTATTGTCCTCTGTAGCTTTTGATCGTTTTGTTGTGACATCTTCTTCCTTTGCCAGCAGGAGTGGCGGGGTCACACCCGCCACACTGACTTTTAGCTCCTTTTCTGGTGTGATTATTCCTGATCCCACCCCCAAAAAAACAGAACGTGTCAACTTCAAAAGACTAACAACATCAAACCTGAAAGATTCTATGTTTTTCATCTAGCGCTGACTCTAAACCCACAGAACCACAAAAGGAACTGGACAAGCACTTATAAATGATGCTAATTTCAAAAGGCAAGATGCACACTTCTTTGTGTCCACTGACTAAGTGGACTTTATAAATATATTTTAAAATGTACTCCTGTCTCATGTTTAGATAACCCTCGATGACCTTGAGAGACTCATCAATAACACGTGCTCACTGGTGTCTCAGGCTGCCTTTATCACATTAAAGCAAATCTACTCCCATTCACAAATGCTAACTTAGAAAATAATTCGTTTTACTCATGTTTAATTGCCTATCTCTTTACTAAAATTCTTAATCACAGGAAACATTTCAAAATTCTGAGAAGAGCTAACTACTTATAATTCAGAAACAAAGACAGCATTTTTATGTGGTGAATATAGGACTTAAACATTAACTATACATGTCTCCTGCTGTTTTTATGATTTACTCTTTGCTTTACATGTTAGGCTGTACATATAACATTTATAGTTCACATCTCAAGAAGATGGCTGTTTTATGAGGTTAATCCAAATATTCAGAGTTAAGGGGGTTTAAAATTTTGCCTAGATAAGCAATGTCACGTATAAGACCCTCACACACATCAAAGAAAAAGAGTGTGATTCTAATTTCCCAATCTAACAGAAAATTCTTTCCAGCATCAATTTTCCCGATAATCTCCTCTGTGAGGCTGGATATTACAGCGACATTGGGTAGGCATGTCACATACATCTCATGACAAACACAAAACCTCATTTACCAGCCATTCCAATCTCATCATAGCACGGCGTCATCTGACCTTTTTTCTGCTGTTTATTATGAGTATTTCTAATTTTAACTTTCAATTTTCACCATCTTCCAGTCAATTTGCAACTAAATTATTTCCAGGGTGAGGATACTATCACTGGACAACTGGGTGCAAATACATGTTGAAATGCAATGAAGCTAAACCATTGATTGCTATCAGACCCCGCGTGAATATAGAGTCTGGGCGTAATCTGATTGTAGGCTGTGCATGAAGATTTATCTTGATTTTTTTTTTCAATCCACATACGGTTCATATAAATGAACAAATTGCACCTTATTGCGAAATAGCCCAGTTTTAATTTAAAAATAAGGTCAAGGATGTTGGAAACAAAGTAAAGATGAACCAAAAGCTACATTCTTTTTTCAATCCTGGATAGAGATGATGCATGTTTAAAACATATAAACATTTTCAGAAATTTTGAATTCTGAAAGAAATTAAAAAGCAAGCATTTTAAAGTTTGGACTCCAAGTACACCGAAATTAAAGTAGACTTTCAATGACAGAATGACAATCATGGTAGGTATAGATTTGGTGATGTTTTCAAATAATTATACTGATTTCTAGATTTACAAACATTAGATTTTATTTGAATTGTTACATGTGCCCTATATCTACAGATGCCTTGGAGAAATTTAGGTTCCTTCTAGATATTTGAAAAAATAACTGATCACATGTGTATTTGAATGATCTTAAATTTGAATATAGACTGAAGACCTTCATTATAACGATAAACACAATCCAAGTATTTGCTATCCAAAGATATGTCAGAAACAGGAATGTTTATTTTATAATTAATTATGGCATCAAAAAATAGGTTTTTCTTTCTCAAAGCAGAATGTAATTTGTGGTGTTGTATTTAAAGTGCTAAAATATTCAAGATAATAATATGATATATAATGTTTGCAAATAAAATTTAGGGCTTAAAATGTCAGTTCAAGTTGTATAAAGTGATTGTCATTCGCATCAGGAATGTTTATCCCTTGCTTTCTTCTTTGAGATGAGAAGATTTTTTTAAGTCCCCCATTAATGAGTAAGAATATGCTCCTTTAAGCATCTAATACTCTCATATTCCCCTATCATTCCTTTGTGCACATGGTAGAATAAGACATAACCAAATTATAAGCTTGTCCATTTCTCTATGCTATCAAAGACTGTCATACACAAATTAAAAGAGAATTTACATGACTCTTGTTGCTTGCAGACCCTATGGGGTATCAGCAATCAAAAAAACCTTCCAGAAACTTTTAAATCTATTAAATGAGTAGCTATGGCCTTATTATTATAAGCATAAATATTCTAATATTGGTACAGGATCAAAAAACACTCATTTTAAGCTATGAGACATGTTACTACAACTATACTATAAATCAGTGATGGCAAACCTATGACATGTGTGTCAGAGGTGACACGTGAACTCATTTTTTTGGTTGATTTTTCTTTGTTAAATGGCATTTAAATATATAAAAGAAATATCAAAAACATAAGTCTTTGTTTTACTATGGTTGCAAATATCAAAAAATTTCTATATGTGACATGGCACCAGAGTTAAGTTAGGGTTTTTCAAAATGCTGACACGCTGAGCTCAAAAGGTTCGCCATCACTGCCATAAATTGAGGCACATATTTGGTATAATAAATCCATGTTATTTTTATGCTTATTAATATTCATTAATGATGTAGTTGCTTTTGAATTTAGTGACATTCGTGCTGCATCAAGAAAATAAAAGTTTTAGGGTCATTTTATAGCCATTGCAATGGCTATTGGCTATAGTATTCCACCCTGTATATAGGTCAACTTCCATATTTTTTGTGTGTAATGAACTTAATTAAACCATGATCTTAGGAAAGCTAGAAGCTGTGTAAAGACCATTTTATTTTACATTAAAAAGAAGTATAAATACAAATTAGATTCCACCACCCCCAGCTGTGTCTAGGCACCCCAGAAATGCATGCCATTGAGAGGAAGAAGCAAGAATGCTGAGCTGGAATAACACAGGACAGAAACAGACCACAAGGACAGGCAGGTCATCAGGGTTATTTGCAAAGTGATGGAAATCACATTTCATGATTGTGAGCTTTTCCTACTTTTCAAAGAGGTGTAATCTCAGGGACTATGGCCTTCTTGGTAAATTGCAAGGACTCAACTTCAAGGTCTCTCTCTAAATTGTTTTATTCTAGAAATATATTAAATAAGGGCCAATTTTAGGAGAGTTTTGATTAAGTTCTGTGATTACTCATAGTTTACGCCTACAACTTTATTTGAAATAAATCCAGTTTGATACCCTAGAGAAAAATTTTAGGTGAGATCATAATTCATTTTGTGTTCATTAAGGACATCATAATATCCTCTAAAAACAATGCTCTTTTAACATACTTGAACTAAGAAATGCAGTCTCATTCCAAGTAAGCACTGCCATATAGATGAGCCAATTACCTGTCAGTTATGTGGTTATGTAACTTGCATGAGATAACAATATAAAAATGACATAATTCATTTCCATTCAGATGCTGCCTACTTAATAATTTTCAACCTTTAAAATACAGAAGGTTGTAAAATGGTTTATACTCATAATAAATGAGGAAAATCCAATAACACATATGTACTCAAAGCAAATCTTGAAAAAACAATAAAACAAAATAACAGTTATTTTAAATATTTTATGAATCAATGTATTTGATAATATTTGAATACTATAAAACTTGAATATAACAGAAGAGGTTATTCAATGCCAAATAATTCCAAATGATAATTACCAGTACAGTATTCTTTCTAATGAGACTGGAATGAAAGGATAATTTTAATTGCAATAATGAAGGTTAATTTCCATCTTTCCTCGTGTTTACTCCCTTATTAAAAAGTGGTCCCCTTAGCCATGGCAGAGACATATTACATTTTCAATGCAAATGTATTAATCTGGATAAACTCTATATTAATTCTTGTACTGCACAGAGCTGTAATTTGGATTATAATTAATCTAAAGTGGCACTAGATTTAAATGACAATATAAATGAGGCATTAGGAGGCTTTTCTATTATGAATGAATATTCAACAAATACAACTTGCATATTGCCAAGTCTCATTTTGAAAGCTCCAGTGCTGGAGATTAATGTCCGCAACTCTGCACAACAGCTTACACAAACAGGGTCTTTCTAACACGTGTTCATTCCTTCCTGTCTCAAAAATTCAGCGCTCAAGTGGAGACACGCTGTTTTCCCATCTAACACACTAAGATAGTGATTAATTTTGCTCGTATTTTTTGACATTTATAACTGACATAAGAAGAAAAACAATATATACAGAAGTGGTTATTCAATCGTTAGCAATATTTACAAGGAAAAAAATCCATGTAATAGTTTTTTCACCTAATCAGATTCCATTCAGAAGGCAGAAAACTTGGTTAAAAGTTCATGCCAGTTGTCAATAACAAGAATTGTCTTGAAGTCTGGGAGGTTTCAAAGCTAAATATTTGCATCTCAGTCATTTCTTTTAGTTGGTTTTAAAGTTCATTTTTATCCGTTTAGATATACCTGGGGAGGCATTTCTGCAGGGATAAAATGGGTTTTAAACAGCTCCCCTTCCGCAGCGCTCTGTGTCCTCTCCCGTGCTGCAGTCCTGTTTCAGTGGCACCAGTAGGCACATAAGAAGGGACAGTCACTCATCAGGCCACTAGGAAGTGATGAGCCCATCATTTATGCAGAGAAATGAACTTTACTGGTGGGGATGGAGTGCCTGTGTCTGAGGTGGTGTTCCAGGTAAGACTCCTCTCTCAATGTAAGAGTGGAGCCATTTTCAAGAGATTCCAGAATCCATCCTTCATAGGGTGTTAGATATTTAAAACCAAGCATGTCACGCACCTGAGTATCAGAGGGCAATCAGTGTAACACGAATGTGCTGTGTTTCATATGTTCTTCTGAAGTCTAAGGGCAGGGGAGGGGGCGCTCCTCTAGAATCTCTGTCAGTATGACTGTGAGAGGGACACCACTGAACACAGGCAGGACCCTGCCCTTCCAGAAGCAAGCAGGCAAGCAGCGGGCCCTGATGAGGTCCATCCTCCAGAGTGAATCAACTGACTACCGGGCTATTTCCAACTCTTCAAATGAGGTTTAGACAGCACTACCCTTGACCTTAACCAATTGCCAGGTACTTCAAACTCCTGGTCAGTAACCCCAAGAGCTGAGTTCCTAACACACAGCTATGGCATCTTTTTCACATTGCTTTCGGCTCAATACCAACCTCACATCTTCTTTGTTTAAGGCAAATTGGAATCATATGTTCACCACTAGATCCTCGGCGCAAATTGAAGTGGTGCTTTCCCACTGGACTCCTGAGGGCAATTTAGCATCGAACGGCGAGGGGTGGGAGCAGGGAGGCCCTTGGAGTAATTTTTGAAGGGAATGCAAAACCAAGATACGCAGATGACTGAATTACAAATGTGAGATAATTCAGGCTTAAATGGACTTGCACATGAAAATGGTATATATATCTTTTTGCACAACCCAATGTCTTCATAGTGAAAACGAGCTTCTTTATGGGAGGCTGTCACTAGAACTCAAGGAAAAGATAGATGACTACCTGAAGCTAATAGGCTTGAACCCGTTGCAGCAGTTCCCCTGCTTCAATGAGCCCAACATAATAAAACTAGGTACAGCGTGCAGCAAAAGTAGCCAATGTAATATTTATTCATCGTGACTGTAGATTTCCATCTCATACATACAAAGTATGGATGAAGTCATATATTTGCCAAATCAAACACAGGAAAAGCCTTAGGTATCCGCACCAGATGCTGGCCTAGGGTTTGTTTGTGCACAAGTAAATGTCATGACATGAAGGTTTGTTTTCCGAGACAGTAGCTTTCATTACTGGGATTTGTCTATTCTGGAAGATCAAAATTACCCAGCATCTAATCCCTTTTCAATGATATTTCCTCTTTCTTAGGCTGGATCATCTGTAAACTTTTTTCACTGGATTTCGTTTGAAATGCTTCAAATAGATGCCCTTAAAAAGGGCAAATTCCTGAGTGTACATTGTAAAAAAAAAAAAAAAAAGCGAGGAAAAATAACATTTATTTTTAGGGTTACGTGGTTGGTGTGTGTGTGTGTGTGGGGGGGTGTCTGTGATTGAATGAAAAAATCCAAGTGATATCTAATCCTGCGCTTATGAAAAATTAATATGCCATCAGAGGAATCACAAGTATAGCTAAGATTAATGAAAGGCGCTTAAAAAATTACAAGCACACAAACTGATTTGATTAAAAAATAATCTCGCTGGTCGTCCTGTAATATTCTTCAACTTACCCACATCTATTCTGTCAGATGGTTATGATTAAAAAATAGGTCAATGGGAGGCTACTGATAGAAGTCACATGCAAAATGCGCATGCGATGGATAGTAGTGGAAGTGTTAGACAGTTTCAAATGAATAAAAGCTTTTAATAAGTGTGGGGATGGGGTGAAGGCAAGGCTGATTTGGGGTTGTGGGGTGGGGGAAGAAAGGGGAAAGAGTTTAGCATCTTACCGGGGTCTTTACTGGAGGAGTTTTTGCCTTCACCAGGGTCTCTCTCATTTGTGTCTTTCTCATCCTCTTCGGCCACCGGTGTCGGCTTAAGAGGCCCTTCTGCCTCCTCACTTGGTTCTTCTGTTCAGAAAGGCAGACTGGTCAGTAGGATTGGGACACCCCCCACCCCCAAATGCACACTCAAATAATTACGTGACCATTCACAAACTTGGTCACCTATGAACCATCTGCAGACACCCATTCTCAAAAGAGGACATACATTTATTCAAAACTTCAGAACCTGATGATGGTACCAATACAAATGTTTATCTCAAGCAACTTCTTTTATATCCACTGAGCACATGGGCCTGTACTCAAAGAGAAATCACTTTAAGCACAGGTGAAGCCAGGAAAGCTGGAAACATGGGTGGGAGGCAGTTCTGTCATAATAGAAGCTTCTAAGCCACATGGACCCCCTGTTCCATGGACTAGGGTAGATAGCAGAACAAACCAAATCCCTAGAAAAAAATCCTCCATGAAAGGATGGGACAGTGATGGGTTAACTCTAAGACAGGTGTTCCTCCTGCCTTCAGCCCCCGGACCCCAGAGGAATTCTTTGGAATTCATCTGAGTAGGATCTCAAAAGTTCAGTTGCACTGGGATTTGTTTTTCTCTACAGGGGGAGCTATACAGGGCGCAGGACATAAGAAGGTCTATTTCTTCTATGACAACCACATCACCCCACACCTCATTCACGGGTTCACACCAGCTAGATTACATGGAAATCCTCATAGTAACTCAACCCTATTTAATTATTCTGTAAATCTGAGGTGTGCCGCTGCCGGTGGGTTAATCTGTTTATGCAGTTAGCCTCCGTGCTGGATCTGGGCAGCACTAATCCGTGAACGGCCCACTGTTCTCCTCTAGCCTGTGATCATTTGTCTCTCACTGTGCTGATGTCACATTTTAATGAATTTTTAGCAATCCGAGTCATGCCAGATAGCCAGACTTGCACCTCCCCGCAGCAGGGCATGCTGTTTTCACGGCGGCACAAAATAATAAAAAATAAAAATCATATTCCCCCATCCAGGTAGGAATTACAGACATGAGGAGGAGGAGGTAAAATGGGATTTGAAGCGCCAGGCTGCTCAATTTCATAAAATCTTTAATGACCAAATAAATTAACCCTGGAAAGGCAAAAGGTCGCCGCCACATATGCATACGCGTGTCTATTTGCTTTTGATAAGCAGAGCTTTTATGCGGAGAACATGATACAATTAACCCTTCAATAACCATACAAAACGCTGCTACGGACATTTTAAGTGTCAAGCATTAACCGAAAATTACACACTGCATAAAATTTTCATTGCAAATGCTGTAGTGATTGAAAGGGGGAATCGCGGCCCGCTCCACACCCCATGTTTTATTAATAACATTCTGACAGCAGAATGAAATATCCACCGTCATGTGTAGCAGCTGAGCACACACACAGAATGCTATTGTCTCCCTGGCCCACCCCGCTCTCTACCGTGAGAGCGGGACCCAGCACAGGGGACGGTGCTGGGCTCAGATGGGGCAGCTCCACAGCTCAGGGAAAGCAAGGCCAGGCGATACATCTGCAGTGAGGGTTTGCTTCCACTGCGTCCTCAACAGCCCCCACAAGTCCATTTACTCTAGGTCTGCTCTGTGCTGCTGAACAGCAGCAGCGGGGAGTTCCTGGTGGAGGAGTCAGGCGTCTGAGGGTTTGAGGGGAGTGTCCCTTTCAGGCCAATCACGTGGAGATTGTACTTTAGGAAGAGAGAATGACGCTTGTTAGGGCTCCAGCCTGCTTTCACCAGCCACGATCATCACTGATCAAACCCAGGCTCCTGGCCCCTGCATGAGGCCAGGCTGAGAGGGGACAGCGGCTGGCTTGGTGAGGGAGGGTGGGTGGCGGAGATCATGACCAGATTGGGCTGTGTCCCTGCCAAGTCCACACACGTGACGTGACACCCGGTGGCAGGCCTCGACCTGTGACAGCCCACGGCAATTACTCTCCAGCTCGTCCTGGGGAAGGGAGGCCAGACTTCTTGGAGTAGATTTACTGAACCTTTCCCCCAGGGCTGGAAAATGAAGTGTCACCGTGGTCCCGGTGTCCTTATCTTGAGGGGACATAAAATTGTAAGGGCTATCGCAACTCCCATTAATAAAACATGGGGTGTCAGGAGGAGAGGACGAAAATTATGAAGGTACTCCAAGAAAAACTACAGTGTAATCTGGGTCTCATCGCATGCTTTGCGCAGGGGCCGATTCTTCATTTTCTCATATGTGTTTTAAGGGCGAGAGAAATTCCCAGACATGTTCCTCTATACATCACCGTGGTGTCTGACCTCCGCCTGACCCTGGCCGCAGTTTGAGAAATCTGAATGTGAACAAAGCCTGTGTCAGCAGCACGGAGCGACCGCCATCAACTTAATCGCAAACAGCAGTTCTGAGGCCATAACTTTGCCCGGCTCGTCCAAGCCACAGCACAGACCCTCCGGAGCTGGCTCTGCCCGCACAGCCTCTGCCGCTGGACATTCCCCCCTCTTTCCTGGCTCTGCCTTTGAAGTCGGCGGGCAATTAGCTCTAATGCTCCAGCAATTCAGACCTGTTTTGTGGTTTCGAAGGCGAGAGCTGTTTATTACAGGTGGGCACTTTGGAGCCATAGAACTTTGCAAATTTGTAATCATGCAAAAAATAATCAAAGGGTAACTTATATCCACCACCATAAAGTTTCATACGAGTCTAAAAAAAAAAAAAGGCTCACTTTGGTTCTTAGAGTTTTTGAAATGAAGCTGACATTCGCTTTATAAATAGACTTTAGAGTTGGGAGGATTAATGTGGAGAAACCACTCTCTCCCTAGGAAAGCGGGATGTTGGCGTTGGGGTTGCGGGAGGAGTGGCTGAGTTCTGATTCTCAAGTAGCAGCTTCCTCCATGTAAAATGCCGTCAAGTGTAAGATGCGTTGTAGGAAACAAACCAAAAAACCAAAAATATATACGTGACATTAAATGTGCTCAAGGGATGCTTTAGAACTGAGGGAAATGACATAAATTCAATTACGTAAAATTCCAAAATGAAGATACTAACGTACATAAAATTCCCAAAGAGGCTAATGCAGCTGTCATTTTCACCAATAGGTTTCTTCACTAATATCGTACATGTAATCCTAATACAGGTATTATCACATTTCATAATACTGCTGCTTTCACAGCATATATATCTTTACTCTTTTGCTTCATGTAATATAAAAACACAATATTTCTTCATATATTAAACTTTAAGATATGAATGTAGTTAAGCTTAAAATGAACACAGGAGTCCACTAGGACTTCCCAGTTTTCAGACAAATAGTATACATTTATATTTTTAAATGTTCCGAAGTAATACTATAGTCTTATAGAAGTTCAGTACAATTAATTTCCCGTAGCATTTTTATCATGGATAAAATGGTGATCTTATAAAAGTCATTTTGTATATACACATAAACTATTTTTAAAAGAAATGTTTTGAATGACTAGCTCAGAGTATTTTCATTTGAATAATGAAAATGATTAGAAAATCTCAATTTATTCTATAAAATCATAATACACATTTTGAAGCACGTCTACGCCAGGGATACACTGCTGATCTAGGAGCCAGCCAACTGCCCTTGGTTCCCGGGCTTTCTCCCACAGTGGGCTTGGGGACCTTCTCTCTGAGTCCTCAAAGGCAGTGGTCGCCAACCCGTGGTCCCTGAGGTCCGAAAGGTTGGAGACCGCTGCTCTAAGGAAAGCGTTGCACACTTTTTAGCCCATGAAGTAATCATATAAAGAGGAAGCAGAGGACAGTGAGTAACTTAAATATCTTTAGTTTTATATACTGAGCATCTCTTCAAAGCACCTGGCTTGTAAGAATTCTTCCCTGGACGCCTGCACTCTCTCCCTGTCCAGTCCCACCACCAACCTCCAAATCTACCCTCTGTATGAGCTACTTCAACCTACTAAAATCTTTTAGTGACTCACTAGCAAAAGTTCAATCTTCTGTGCATGGAAAGAATACCTCCGAGATACCTGGTCCTTGTCCACCAGTCCAGTCTCATTATTTTTTCCCACTTCCTACCTAGCACTTAATACTTAAAACAACAAACAAACAACCCTTGTGGGTGTGGCTCAGTTGGCTGAGCACTGTCCTGTGCACCAGGTCACAGGTTCAATTTCTGGTCAGGGAGTCCCCGGTGTAGGTGTGTGCAGGAGGCAACCAATTGATGTTTCTCTCTCATAGCACATCAATATTTCTCTCTTTCTCTCCCTCTCCCTTTCTCTTTCTCTAAAATCAATAAAAACATTTTTTAAATTGCATCATCAGAGTTACCTGCTAGACTTGTTAGAAATCAGACTGTGTGCTCCACCCCTGGAATTTATAATTCAGGAGCTTTAGAGGGAGGCCTGGGAATTTACATCTCTATGCTCCCAGGTGAACATGATGCTTCTAATCCAGGACCACATTTCATGAACCACTATTCTAGAAACACGTGACTGTTATTAATATTGCTTTCCAGTACATATCATTATATTTCCCTGTCTTATCTAGGACTTTTCTATACTACATATATTTTTTTCCTTCAAGCCCAGCTTGGGAAATACCAGTTTCATCATCTGTAAAAAATGGAATTAACAATGCCTACCTCATTGGTTTGTTATAATATATAAAAATCAGTCAGCACACAGCCTAACAAACTAAGTGTTTCAAAATGCTGGCTGTGCTATTACTATTAATTATTTCTTTATCCAAAAAGTCTTACCTAAATCTGGAATTGGGATTAATGTTTCTGAATAAGATTTCATTCTTTTTTCTCTACATGGATGTCTAACAACTTACCACAGTATTTGGAAATGATCCATGTACTGTGCCTATTTTCCCTGATAGCTACACATTTACTGAAAATAGTGATTATCTTATTGCTCCTTGTGCCAGAGCACCTGGAACAGTGCCTGGAATAGAGTAGGCAGGCAATACAGAGTTGTTGAAACACTAAATTGAATTTAGGATGCAAAACTGAAGAAGAGGAGGAGGCGTCCAGACACTATGCCATTCTTCTCTTCCCCTTCAATAAAACTCAAAAAGGATTGTTTGTTTGTTTGGATTGGTGTCGGGCTGGTTTGGGAGTCCTTACATTTTCTCTTTCTACTAAAAATGAATTCATTATCCAACCCTCCAGTCTGACTTCACACCAATTGTTCCTCTCAAAGCCACCGACAACTTCCAAGCTGTGAAATCCAGTGGCCATGAAGGTGTCTGCTCAGATGTGATCACACCCTCCTCCTGGGGACCACACCTGACAACCTTGCTTGAGCACTGTACCTCTCTTGCTTCTTTGATCTCATTTACTACAATCTGCAAATAACTTGTTTATTTGTATAGACATGTTGTCCAAAAATCTTATTCAAGACTTATGCCCAGCAGTCACTGGCACTAATACTTTGAGTGAAGTCGATGACTCCTAGTTTTCTTACTCAGGGTAACCAGGTCTATGGCATGATGTCATCGGTTGAAATGAAGAAAAAGAGGAGAAGAAATGGTTTTGCAGAAAAGAGAAGTTCAATTTGGAATTTGTTATATTTGACTTCCCTATAGAACATCTCCATGGAAATATGCAGAAGGCATGGGAACATCTAAATATAAAGTTTCTCAGAGAGACTGAGTAAGATGGAGATTTTGTAAACAAAGACAATAAATAAATATGTCAACAGGGAGTGGTATCCTTTTAGTTTGACAATTTTGGTCATAGCCTTGACTTTGCCCTATTATTTCCAACCAGGTCATTAATGAAATCTTTTCATTGATTTGAGGTGAGGAAGGCAAATCGGGCTTGTGCTATTTTATCTTAAGTATGCTCTCTAGTTTTCTAGGGGAAAAATAACATATGTAATAAAAAAGTTTTTATGAGAGATGCATAGGTGAAGGTAAACTCTGAATAATTTTTGACGGAAATCCTGACTTTATATTGCTGGAATGTTTTCACTTGCAAAACTGTTTTTGGGGGTTTTTTTGTAAAGTATTTCAATACCCCATTATGAATGCGAAGGACTTTTTATAATCATTTTTTGTTCTATATAACACATTATTATTCCAATTGTATAAATCTGGGGACTGGGATCATGTTTATATAGCAGAAATAAATGAGGTGTGTTGTAGCAACATGGGTGAGTTTCCTCTTAAATTATCTGAATATAATGCAGCTAACAAGGCCTGGCTGCCATTTTTTAACATACACATATACACACAAAGCACAGGGAATAGTAAATGTGTTGACATGGCTACACAAAATCCAATCAACCCATTGACTGCCAAAAATAACTCCACCATCCAGGTTTTTTTAATTGTGTAAAAATAATATCTGGCTTTCTGGCTTATCCTTTGTATAAAATCGACCACTTCGGTGAAACTTCACAGTGTACACATGCAGATGTGAGAAATTATCCAGCAGATGTTACTCATTCTTTAAAAAATGTCACTTTACATAGGCATCCAAACATACAGATATATTTGCTTTTGCTATTAACTTGTTTCTATAAGGGATCTGATCAGATCTAATTGGAGCAGTTCCAGAGATCCGTGCATTACATAAATGATGAGAGTAACAACTGTAGGACAGACAGACACGCTTTTGAGAAGGAACAGACCAATTACCTGAGGTCACTCTCAGCTGCTGCTCCGACAGGTCATCCTCACAGGTCCTGGCTCCCAAAGAGGCAGATTCTGCAGAGAACATCGGAGCGAAAGGTGGTCAGCTCTGCAGTCACAGCCAACAGCACAAGAACCCCATTTGGCTTCCAATGAGATAACTGTGTGGTGGGGCGCAGGGGAGTCTTAGGATCATCTTACATCCTAGTGAGCAGTGGTGAGCAAGATGAGTCAGACAGGGGTGCCCTGAGATTGAATTTCCAACGATGGGCAGTGCACAACGAACACCACGATGTAGTTCAAATATAGAAGCAGGAAAGGCTCATTGTGACTTGGGTCTCTGGCTAAGTCTACATCATAGTGGCCATGGCACATGACATAAATTATAAGCATGCTTTTACTTCTCTGTCAAAGTAGCAAAAAACAACAACAGTAACAACAACAAACACCCTCAATATATGGTAGCTGCTGTGAGACCAAAGCTGAAAACAATCACTTCAGGAAATGTCCAAGTCATCAATAAACGCCATAGGAGACCCAGCTCTTTTATTTGCGCTCCACAGCAGAAGGCCAGCGATGGCCTGGTTTGCTAAACTAAACCCCAAACACAAATCATGATTTTCATCCAATTCCATGCTTCCTTTGTATTCCCTATTGTAGGGAAATCTAGAAAAAAACAACAACTAGGCCTTAGAAATCAGCACCAACACCTCCCTCTTCCTCCCCACTGAGTCATCACTCGCTCTTGGTTCCGTTCGACAACGGCCCCTGTCCCATGTGTTTCTCTGGTCCCCCGTCACCCTCTCATTTCTGGCAATTTCAGTCGCTTCCAGAGCAATCTCCCTGCCTCGAATTCCAATCGAATCTCTCATAATATCTTGAGAGCTATTTTTCAAGAATACAGAATTGTATGAGCACAAATCCTGGCTCTACCACTTTCTAGATATGGGACCTTTGTATACCACTCAATCCCCTCATTTGTAAAATGCAGCTATAATCAGTAATTGCAAGAGAAAATAATACAGACATGAGATGGTCTTCCAAGCGGAAAAAAGGCCAAATCTTATTGACAAATTTTAAAAAAGTGGTCATGGGATTCTTACACTGACAAAGACAGTCATGCTCATCTAGCAATAGCATCTCTGGTTGATTCTGAAGGTTTTAATTAAACAAATAATTAACCTTGAAAATAGAAGTGCACACCAAGGCACTATTATTGCTTTTGCTAATTGTTGTTCCTCCTATGTATAAAACCTTTGGCCTTTGGTGGTAATCTACTTAAAAATAATACAATCAGTACAAATACTCGGTAGCTTCCCATCACCAACTAAAAACATTATGTTTTCTTGTAACTGTCTCTTACATTTGTCTGGAAAGGAAGAATTTATCCTCAGTCTTTGCTTCTAAATCCAGCAATAGCTCCCAAACAGATCACAGTACTGAAGCCCATCCCTCATGTCACTCAAGAAGCCCACCTTCTTCCGCACGATATCTCTCTCTCTCTCTCTCTCTCTCTCTCTCTCTCTCTCTCTCTCTCTCTCTCTCTCTCTCTCTCTCTCTCATCTTGATGCCCTGAGCAATGTTGTTCCTGGTATATGTTTAATGTCTTTTTGTTTTATCATGTTAAACTCTTATTCTTCCCTCAAAACCCAAAGCAAGTGCCACCTCCTTCATGCTCCCATAACAATTAGCTTACACATATGTGACAGGAATTAGTGTCTGTTTTTGGTATAACTTAAAGAGCTCTGAATTTAGAGTCCCAGGCTCTGGGATACTATATGAAATTCTCATTTTGATATTCACCTGTGTTAGGATACTTTTATTCAATATCCTCATCCATGCTTTATAACCTGAAACAGATGACTCCCAAAAAGACACTAATTCCTTCACATATATGAATGTGTGTGTAAAGCAATTTTCCCCTCTTTTCTAGCAAAAAAAGGAGTAATTTGTCAAGGAACCCTTAGTGTTTTACACACACACACCAATAATGTATTAAAGAGACTAGTTCAAATAGATATCAGTAGTACTTCAGTGAGCTAGACCAGATGACTGCTATCCTTAAAGATATATTAAGATAAAAATAAAGCAATGACAACTTAGTAAGAGTGTATCTCTGCTGGGTACTGTGATAACTACTCGTATAAAAACAGGCATGCAGTCCCCACAATCAAATCACGAGGCTTGATTAGTCCTTATTTACACATCAGGAGGCTGGGGCACAGAGAGGTTGAGGTAGCCCTCTGTCCTCAGGCTCCAAGTGTGAGCCTGACGAGCTTGGAACAAACCCCAGGGGGCCTGGTACAAAACTCTGAGGAATCTGGGATGTGTCCAGTCGGAAGAACACAATAGTTAGGAGCCTAGGAAAGTTTCCTATCTTTGTGAAGGCGAGAAACCAAGAGGGAAAAAGAAAAAAAACCAAAAAACAAAGCAACTGTTCACTAGCAACTGTTCACTAGTCCTGCGAACATTCTGATATTTCATAAAAGATTTATATTCTTTGAATATGAAATGTGACCAAATAATCATTTGGTACCACATGGAAATCATTTAAGAGTGATTTAAGGAGATGTACAAAATGTTCAAACCAGAAACTGTTTTTTAACCTCACAAATTAGGTCACGTGGCACTGGAGTCGGCCCCAGTGACAGTGACTGGGGCGAGTGAGTTCATAAATGAATGTCGTTCAGTATACCAGCAATGTTTTTTTTTTAGATTCTCAACAGTGTTGCTCCCTTTATATAAATGAAAACATTTTAATAAAGGAGCTTTTAGCTTATCAAACAAACCGGTTAACTTACACTTCTCTGCCAGTGTACAATGAATTGTGCGAAATCTGGCAATGACACACAGCATCTTTCAATATTTCCCTCGCATAATTGCTCTGTAATAACAAATCTGACTGCTGTTAACATGGTCTGTCCCTTTCGAGGGTGATTTAATTAGATTACTAATTTGTGTTCTCTAGCACCTAACCTTTCTGGTTTAATACTATTAAAAATAGTAACACTGACAGTTTATCCAGTACTCTATTCTGTCAGTTTGGCAATGATCACAGATTTGAAAACCGTACCAAATTACTCTATTTTGATTAACATGACGTGGGCCATGTTTTTCTGTGTAATAGTTTATTGATCATCACCATCACCATCCTCAACAACACTTACAGAGGACTTGCTCTGTTCCAGGTGTGACTGATGGACACCCCAAGAAACGGGCGGAGCTAGGATTTGAACGCACACAGCTTTATTCCACGGATCATCCTCTTAACCACAATGGCATACTGAGCCACATATTTAAGATCCTAAAAGTAGTTTTTCTCTTAATTCTGCAATGATTCCTCATGTTCATTTTTCTCATTTGGCCTGAATTCTAACCACCTATGCTCTTAGCCTAACTCAAAGGGTTCCACTCCCAATGCAATGCTTAAAACCTAAATTTGGGAGATTCCTCTTCCCTTTAATTGATAAGAATGGATGTTCTCACAGCTCTCTCTCATTTCCTTGCTCTGTGACATCCCCTCACTAACTCCCCATCTCATTTCTCCTTCTGACCTTTCCCTTCCCTTATATAAATACTATTGATCCTGGTAAATAAACTGATAACTTTCAGGCATCTAATCTTAGTTCAAAATCAAGCTCTCATCTTCCAAATCTTTTTGCCCCTGCTAATCCTATGTAATAAAAGGCTAATATGCAAATTGTCCCCATAGGTGGGAGTTTGGCAGACCGGGAGTTAGAGGTGCGCTGACCACCAGGGCTGGTGCGGAACACGGAGGACATCGATGACGCAGCGATGGCAGTGGGCGGCAGTGGAAGCACTGCTGGTCCCGATGGGCCCCGATGAGAGTGGGACCGCGGCGGGATGGTGGAGCAGGTGAGCGGGCAGCACCAGGCCAAGGTGGGTGCAAGCGGGAGACCCAATTGCCCCGCTGGTTGCCGCATAGATGGCGGTCAGCAGCGGCAACGGGGAGTGGGGCCAGTGAGTGGGTGGCACCAGGCCAAGGCAGGTGTAAGCAGGGGCCCCTGATTGCACTGCCAATCACCCCAAAGATGGCAACTGGCAGCAGCGGCTCCAGGCCAAGGCGAGTGCAAATGGGGGCCCTGATTGCCCTGCCAGTTGCCCCACAGATCGGCCCTGATCGCCAGCCAGGCCTAGGGACCCTACCCATGCACAAATTTCATGCACCGGGCCTCTAGTCTATATATAAAAAAGGCTAATATGCAAAGTGTCCCCTCGGGAGTTCGATCACTTGCTATGATGTGCACTGACCACCAGGGGGCAGAGCAGAATGAAGAAAGGCCCCAGCCGGTGGCCAGCAGCTGGGGGAGGAAGGTCCCAGCTGGCAGCCAGAAGGAAGCCCCCCGGCAGGCAGCCAAAAGGCCCTGATTGGCCCTGATAGCTGGCCAGGCCTAGGGAACCTACCCATGTACAACATTCATGCACCGGTCCTGTAGTTGGAATAATATTGTTTAAAAAAAGATAATCATTAAAAACCTGATGGTCAGGGAAAGATCTGGAATTTTATTAAACAGTCTAGATACATAAACAGAATTCTAAGTTTAAGGTTTCTTGTTGTGTTTGTGGAATAAATGTAATCTAATCTGCACTTGATGATTGCAACAGCCATGTGCTTTTTATATTCTTATCAGCAAAATTTGGGAAGCATTTGGCACAAGTTCAGTAGAAAATAGAATTTTTAAAACAATGGGTGAATGTTTAAGCTGCCAAGTATTATACTAGGGTGGGATTTGCCTACAAAACTCCCACATCTCACCCCTACCACTGGTTTGTTAATGCATCAAACAATAAGGCGTATCACTATTTTTATTTTTTAATATATTTTTTAGTGATTTCAGAGAGGAAGGGAGAGGGAGAGAGAGCTGGGAACATCAATGATGAGAGAAAATCATTAATCAACTGCCTCCTACACACTCCCTACTGGAGATCCAGCCCACAATCTGGGCATGTGGCCTGACCTGGAATCAAACTGTGACCTCCTGGTTCATAGGTTGAAGCTCAACCACCTAGCCACGCTGGCTGGGTTGTATCACTATTTTTTATCAACATGTTCA